ACTGGTCATTCCCGGCCACAGGCCCAAAGTGTGTGAGATAGAGTTTCAAAATCCTTGCCTCCAAGGAGGAACTTCATTTTACCCTCTCCAAGAGAGATCAATATCTTTTCTCCGGGTTCGTGGTATGTTCAATACTCTTCTCCAGCACCACAACTCAAAGGCATCAATTCTGCTTCTGTCTTCCTTAGTCATTGTCCAAATATCTGATGCATGTTATGTGATTGCTAAGGTCATGGCCTGGATCAGGCCTACCTTAATCTCTAGACTGACATCATTGCTCTTCAGCACTCTGGAGAGTTCTGGGACAGTAGACTTCCCCAATGCAATTCATCTTTTGATTTCCTGACTTATGGTGGCAAAAGTGTTGATTGTGGAGTCATGGAAGCTGAAATAGTTAATAACCTTAATATATTTTCCATCCATCATGGTGCTGTCAATTGGCTCAGTGGTGAGAACCTTTGTCTCTTTGATATTGAGCTTCAATCTATGTCAAAGACTACACTCCTTGACCTTCTACAACAAATACGTCACATCCTCCTCAGTTTCAGCAAGAAAGATTGTATCATCTGCATAATGCAGGTTATTGATGAGTCTTCTTCCAATCCTGATGCCACATTTCTCCTCTTAAAGTTCAGTCTCTCTAATAATCTGTTCCATGTTTAGATTGAAAAGGTTTGGAGACAGAACACATCCCTGACACACCCTTTTCCTAATTTTGAACTATGCAGTGTTTTCTTGCTCTGCTCTGATGACTGCCTTCTAGTCCAAGTATAGGTTTTCCATGAGCACAATCCCAGTCCTTTTAAGGTTAGTCACAGTTTAGTGTGATCTACAAAGTCAAATGCCTTTGCATAGTCAAAGCAGCACAGATAGGCATTCCTCTGATACTCTCAACCAAATTCCATCTGTCATTAGCAATGTCTGTAGTGCCATGACGTCTTCTAAATCCAGCTTTTATTTCTGATGGTTCTCTGTTAATGTATTGTTCCAGTTTATTTGTGTTTTTTTTTTTATAATCTTCAGCATTATTTTGCTTGTGTGTGATATCATTCCATAATTTCCACACTCTGTCAGATCACCTTTTTGTTTGTTTGTGTGGATAGGAATAAATATTGTTCTCTTCCAGTCAGCTGGGCATGTAGTTGTCCTCCAGATTTCAAGAAAGGAAGAGAGCCTCAGGGATGTGTCTTTTCTTTATACGTTTTCAATCTAGTAAAAGAACTAATCATTTGGCAGGCTAGACTTTATGAGGAGGAATGTGGCATCAGCGTTGAAGGAAGACTCATCAACAACATTGTATTATACAACCTTGTATTATACCTTGTATTACAACAAATTTATATTATACAAATTATACAATCTTGCTTGCCAAATCTAAGTTGTACCTGAAGTGTTTGCTGCAGAAGGTCAAGAACTGCCTAACCCTAACCCTAACCCTAACCCTAACCCCCCCCCCCCCGTTTGCTCCTCTCCTTGAAAAGCAAAAGAAAAACTCCCTCTTCGGTACACAATCCACCCCGCACATCCCCCAACCCCAACCCCAAATATAATCCACTCTGCAACCCTCACTTCGTACCCTTATGATAAACATAATGCCCTAAAATATAATACTTTTAAACTATTCTCTCCTCCATAGACTTCAATGCAGTAAACATAATTCATCCAGTTTTTCTCAGTCTTACCCCCACCCCGATGTCAGCCTCATTCTACAACAGTGGCACCATATAGCATTTGTCCCTTTGTGACTGAAATACCTCACTCAGCATCATGTCCTCCAGGGTCACCCATTTTGAATGATATTGCATGAGTTCCTCGTTTTTTAATGCAGCATAGTATTCCATTGTGTGAATATACTACAGCTTACCAACCCATTTGTTTGTTGATGGGCACTTAGGTTGTTTCCAACTCCTTGCTATTGTAAACAAAGTCGCGATAAACATGGGTATGCTTATATCTACTTGGATGTCATTTATGGTCTCTTTAGAGTATATTCCCAGTGGTGGAATTGCTGGGTCAAATGGTATCTCTATTTGCAACTTGTTGAGAAAGCGCCACATCACTTTCCACAGTGATTGCACCATTTTACACTTCCACCAAGAGTGAATAAGGGTTCCATTTTCTCCACAACCTCACCAGCATTTGTTGCTTGCTGTTCTGTTAAATTATTTTTTATGTGCAGTTGTGTTGCCTGTGACTTATAACGACCTTAAGTACAACAGTACAACAGCCCTAAACCCTGCTATATACTGTCTTATTGTCTCTGACACGCCTAACCCCATTACTCTAGTCACTGAATCAAACCATCTCATCGAGGGTCTTCTATTGCAGAATGCTGGGAAGTAAAGGAGTGCCTCTGGACAGGATGGGTCGCCTGAGCTCCAGACAGGTGCAAGCTTCCCAATGCCTTTAAGGGGTAGAGAAAGCTCCCCTGTGTTTTGCTGTACCTGCTTGAGAAAGCTGGCCACCTGGAAAGACGGCTGCCACCTTTGTTGAGCTGGGAGTGATCCACACAAGGCTGAGGTTCCCCCGACCAATCCACATGTCCCATGTCTGTAAGCCCATCCTAGCTTGTCTTCCTGTGTATATAAACGCAGTGCTTATCCCAATAAAGTTGAGCTGGATTGACTCTCTGATCCTCTCTCAGAGTGGTGTATCTCTGTCGTGCTTCCTCCCATCAGGGTGTTGCTGTCAAGTTGCCAGCGAACTGACAGCGACAGTCTTCCTCTCCTGTGTTGTTCCTCCACGTTTTCAAGCTTAACATCCCTCTCCAAGGACTAGTCCCACCTTGCAACATGTCCTAAGTATGTCAGACAAAGCTTCAAAATACTTGCCTCCAAAGAGCAGCCTGGTTTAACCCTCTCTAGGATTAACCTGTTCTCTTAGCTGACTATGGTATATTCAATACTCCAGCACCACAGCTCAAAGGCACCAATTCTCCTTCTATCATCCCTAGTGATTGTTCAGCTCTCTGATGCATAGAAAGTGACTACAAAGACCATGGCTTGTATCAGTTGCATTTTCATTTCCAGACTGACATCATTGTTTTTCAGTACTTTGGAGAGGTCTCTGACAGCAGAATTTCCCAATGCAATTTGTCTTTTAGTTTCCTGGCTTTTAATGCTAAGAGTGGTGATTGTGGAGCCAAGCAAGCTAAAGTTGTTTACAATCTCAATCTCTTCACCATCTATCATGATGCTGCCAATTGTCCTAGTGGTGAGAATCTTTGTTTTCTTGATATAGAGCCTCAATCCATATTGAAGGTTGCAGTTCTTGACCTTCTGCAGCAGGCGCTTCAGTTCCTCCTCAGTATCAGCAAGCAGAGTTATATCATCTTCATAATGCAGATTATTGGTGAGTCTTCCTCCAATCCCAATGCCACATTTTTCCTCATGGAGCCTAGCCTTCCATATAATCTGATGGAATAAGTATAAAAAAATGATACAACCTTGTTTCTCACCTTTTCTGATTTTGAATCATGCAATGTTAATTCGTTCTGTTTGGTCTACATATAGGTTTCATATTAGCATAACTATATGTTCTGGTATTCCCATTCTTCTCAATATTAACCACAATTTGTTATGATATACATACTCAAATGTCTTTGTATAGTTAATAAAACGCAAGTAAACATCTTTCTAGTATTCTCTGCTTGCAGCCAAGATCCAGCTGACATCAGCAATGATATTATTTGTGTCATGGCCTCTTCTGAAACAGAATTTTGAATTTCTGGCAGGCCCCTTTTACATAAAAGTTTCAGTCACTTTTAACAATCTTCAGCATTATTTTTTTACTGTGAGATTAACTATATTGTTCAACAATTTCCCCAGTCTGTTGAATCACTTTTTCCTGTTGAATCACCATGCTATTTGAAACCTTAGAATTTTGTTTTAGTTATCTAGTACTGCTGTTAGAGAATTGCCATGAGTGGAGTATTTAAAAAAAAAACCAAAACAGAAATATATTTTCCCACATTTAGCAGGCTAAAAGGACACATTCAGGGCACTGGTTGTGGGGGAAAATGTTTCTTCCCTGCTAGCTCTGGAAGCGCCACATGTACATACATATTTGCATTAAAAAGAGCAAATTAATTATGTGCATATTTTCATTTCACATGAGAGACTTCCTGCAAATATAAAGAAACAGTATGCCTAAGAACTTGGAGTCTGGAGCTGGAAAAATCACATCTTGCATTCTATACTCTTTTGAGACCACTTAATATTTAATTATGTGCCTGTTCTATGGTGATATTATTTTAAAATTATCAAATCTACTTAAATTGTATGATTCAGGTTCTTCTCTAAGTAACTACCTAACTACCATTATCATTTCTGTTTCCCATCTTCTGTTTTTTTCTTCACAGAAACAGACATACACAAAATAATTAGTCCACTTAACAAAGATCTAACATGAGTTGACAGACCTTTAATGTAAAAAATTCTGATCCTTCAAAGTAAAATGCTACTTGGGCAGGATATGGCTATTTGCATCTTCTGATCATAATGAATCTTTCATAAACAAGGCCATTGTAATTTTTGAATACTTTTATTGTTTACCACATACTCTTTAGTGAATTAAGAAAAAAGAGAACATACTTTATTGAAATACAAAGAATACAAAAGTTTGATTAAAAACATCTACAACTTGGAACAATAGCTAATGTGTTGATTTAAAAATTTTTATCGCTGATATATTTAGTCCAAAATTATACAGAATAAGGATTCCTAGAAAGTGCAAGTTACACATGATTTCTTCATTATATCTAAGCAATATTTTATCATTTAGTTTTGCCCTTTTTGAATGTCTAGTAGGTATATTCCTGACTCACTTGCTATTTCCTTCAATTACTAAACTGGCAGCACATTTTAAAATGCTCAGTTGCATTTCATGTAATCATAACATATTAGACACAGTTTTAAAGTATCATGATAAGTTTTGTTGTTTTAAAAAGAGCAGTAGGAATTGCTTTGTTAGAATAAACATGTTTATTCTATTATTTGAAATTAGACAAGACTCCCAATTGGCAAACGAGGTAGACACATATACGCTTGAGGAGTTTTGCTGAGATTAATGGGATTTCCATCCAGTCTTATGTCCTCTAGAGCCTTACGAATATAAGTCAAATTCTTAATATTGCAGAAAGTATCTTCATGCATTTCCAGAATGTTGTTGTTCTAAAATTATAAAAGTAAAAGATGGGATAAGTCAAATGCATACTAATTACATAATGAATTTGCTTAATACACATTTTTTAAAGATTTGGTTCCATCTAGTACTAAAAAAACCCATATTAAGTTATTTTTATTTGTCAAACACTTTGTAAATGATGTGAAGAAATTGTTGAACAAAATGGGCATGCACTTTCCTTTATGAGGCTTGTACTTCAATTGGAACGGTAGAAAGTAGAAAGACATTTAAAGATAAGAGAGCTTATTTCTAAAATTGATGTTAATTAAATAGAAGCTATGTTGTTACTGTTAGGTACTGACGAGTAGAGGAAGACTCATAGCAATATCCTATTAACCATTGAGCCTCCTGGGTCAGGGATTACAATAACCATTTTAATTTCAAACAATCTAGTTTGAAATTGTTCTAAATAAATTTTGATAGATTACAAAAACTTTACACCAATATATCCCCTTTATTATCCCACTCTCTTCTTTCTACAATTATATGTCTATTTTTACCAGTATATGAGCTTAACTTCATAATAATTTACTTACATGGTTGTCTTTTGCTAGAGATAGAAACCATGAATAGGTTAAAGAGTTTCAGAGTTTATAAAATTTACAAAATAAAAGTTTGTAGGTGCCATAGTTTATGCCGAATTTCCCCCCCTATTTTCTAGTGAGGGAATTGAGTAATCATGGATTCTGACTGGTGGTATAGTGCATAGTATGTTGCCTTGATCACCAAAAGGTTGTTGTTATTGTGTACCATAGAGTTGGAACGGACCCATAGCTGACACCCCAACAGTTTTGAGAGGCAGTTAATTGTGTAGGAGGGGATTGCCTATCTTTCTCCAAAAGGAGCAGCTGGTGGCCTCAAACTATGTGCCTTTGGAATTGCAGTGCAGCTTCTTGACACTAAATCACAAGAGCTCCCTCACCAGAAGGTTGAGGTTGGCGGTTTGAATCCACTGGCTGCTTTGTGGAAGAAAGGCAGGCATGTTTCTCTCATAAATAGCTACAACTTTGGAAACCCAGTGGAAGATCCCATGAGTTGGAGCCTGCAACACAGCAGTAGGCATAATTTGGGGTTTGTAGTCTAATAAGCTCTGGTGGTGAAGTTTGATGCACTGTTAATCAAAAGGTTGATGGTTTGACTCCACCACCTGCTGTTTGAGAGAAAGTTGGGCAGTGTCCTCTTGTAAAAACTTCCAGCTTTGGAAACCTGATGGTGTCTCACTAAGAATTGGAGTCAGCTTAACCATAGTGATTTTGGTTTGGTCTTCTTAATAGAATAGTGGACTGTTTAGAAGTTAGACAAATGATGTTTTAAGTAGCTCCCTTATTCTTAATTGCTGCATATTCTTTGTATCTAAATGTTGAAAAACATTTTTCAAATTATCCTGGAATGGTATTTGTTGTTTATTAAAAACATGAATATTAAAACATGCAAATTGAGAGACATATTTACTCTGTAGGGTCAACATTCCCTCAGGCAGTAATGATTAAAATTACTTGATAATTGGAGCACATTGTCCAAAATTTCTTCGAGGGTTGCCTTGAAAATGTCTCTCTTGTAAAAAACTGTGCCCAGAATCTACATTTGCATAGAAAATGTGCTCAAGAAGTAAAGAGCAAGAGAGAGTAATATCAAAACAGGAGGAAGGCTAGAACGCACAGAGATTTAAAAAGAAAAGTTATACTCATAAAAACTCATGATAGAGACAGGTAGTTAAGACTCATAGGTGGATATACACCAAAAGATATCAAAAGATGGTGTTATTAAATGTCCTAGAGTTGAGTAAGACTAATAACATCCCCATGAATAACAGATTTAAACACTGTACTGTCCTATGCCATCCTTAAATTAATACTAGTAAGAAAAAAAAAACCCACAGAAGTATGTCTTTATAGGGTTCCACACAATAATTCAAGACTTGCTCTATCATACTAAAGTTACTTTATGTAATGATTTTCACTTTTTTTACTAAAAAAATTTTAATATGTCAGTGGGCATCTTCTCTCTCTCTCTCTCTCTCTCTCTCTCTATATATATATATATATATATATATATCAGAAAAAAGAAAATTATTACAAAAAGTTCATTACAAATATAGATCAATGGTTATAATAGTTACATATCTATACCCATTTAACAACCCAAAAATTTATTTTAATTTAATATATTTTAACCCCTTCATGGAAAAAGAAAATAAAATTAAAAACTGTTGTATCACCAAGATTTGAAATGAGTTTTTACTGAAAACTAGTAGTTTACTGAGAATAAAAACTATCCAGATATTAAAAAAAAAACAAAAAACTATCCAGATATTAATGTATGTTAACTTGAAAAAAATACAATTTTTCCAATCCATAGAGGTGGATATTTTAATTTCTAATCAGGAAGTAATGCACTAGGATTGAATGTCATTCAGTGTCTCAATTCTAAAATAAGTAGATGAAATGAATTTTTTTTCTGAAAGGAAAATATCGGGTTAGACTTTTCTCTCTTCCTTTTTCCCCTTCCATTTATAGCCATGGAAAATTTCTTCAGAAGGTGGAAATTTGTCTTTAAAAAAAGTAATTATGACTGGGCAGAAAGAAAGAAAAAAAATTAATGTTATAATTGGTAGAAATCTATCCCTGTAGGTGGTTTTTGTTATTGTGTACTAGAGTCAGAATGGACTCATTGCTGACCCTTCAGTGGGTTTTCAAAGGCAACTGTATATTGAATGGAATGAGATGACCATATTTCACCTAGGGAGCATCTGGTGGATTTGAACTATGTGCCTTGGATTGGAAGTGCAACTTCCTATCAGTAGACCACTAGACCACCAGAGCAAAGATATGTTTTACTCAGTTTGTGAGAACAAACCAAAGACCAAAGAGAGAAGGGGGGGAAAAAAGGAAGAAATGTTACGTCGAATGTCATCACAAACAGTTGTTTGTATTCTGACCCTTCTCCTGTTTTGGTTGGCTTTTTTTGGAGCATGTATTATTGCTGAAAGCTTACCTGCAGGTGAAGGGACCTTAGGTTTTCTGGGAGTGGCAGAGGGATATGGTCCAAGTTGTTATCAGTAAGGTAGAGATGATGGAGATCATACATATCCTGTAAACATTCCAAACACAGGGACTTAAAAGAAGTTACTGATGTTCAATTTGTATTTTCCAGTCAAAAAAAAGAAAAAAGAAAAAAAGGAAGATCCTCAGCTAGGTGGCTTGACACAGTGACTGCAGCAGTGGGCTCAAGTATGTCAGAAATTGCAAAAGTGGCAAAGGGTCAGGTAAAGTTCAGATCTGTTGTTTATGGGGTCTCTATGAGTCATACTCAACTCACTGGCTTCTAATAGCAACAACACTCATGTAACTAGAATCGCTGGTGGTCTAGTGGTAAGTAGCTGCACTGAAGTCCCAAAAGGCACACGGTTCAAATGTATCAGCTGTTCTATGTCACAAGTTCTTCCCCCTTGTGATTTTCTGTTTCTGAAAATCTACTGCAGGGTCAACTATAGGTCAGTTCCAACTTGATAGCACATAACAGCAACAACAACAATACGTGCAACTAGGGAGCTCTGGTGGTGTAGTTATCTGGAGTTGTATTGCTAGCCCAAATACCATGCTTCTTGGACAGTTCAAACTCAACAGTGGTTCTATGAGAAAAGATAGTAAATCTCTTCCCATGCAATTAATAGCCTTGGAAACTGAACGTGAATCAGTTAGGAGTCAGTTCCTACTACTCCACAGCAATGAGATTCAGTGTTCATACATGCAACTATTTATAAAATAACAAGTACCCAGCCAGGGACTATTTGTAAAATTGAGTCACAGTAATTCTTTCAATTCCTAGACAATTCAAATGAACACTTGCTGGCTAGCAAATATTAAATCATGAAGATGAAAATAATTTATCAATTTCTATGAAAGATCTTTATTTGTTCACTTAAACTTTTTCAAGTTAAATAGCATATCTACTTTCTGAGGAAGACACATTATTTTGAAGATTTTCTTGAGATATAAAAATAGTTTTCAGATGAGGGACTGAATAATTTAAAAGTGATGTATGATAGGGTATTATGGTTATCACAAGAGTCCACAATCAAGGTTGCATAATGGAATGTACTCGGGGTGGTGGGAGGGGTGTGGGGGGATTGTGTACCAGGGAGGAAGTCTTACTTTTGAAAGAGAGGAGCAAACTGGGGGGCAGGGGGAGAGGGCTGGGCAGGGAGAGAAGTGCAGCAATGAATGAATGGAAATCCAAATTCTCTGTAAATGTTCATTACAATTATTAAAAAAAAAAGTAAAACAAAACAAAACAAAAAAAATTAGTTTTCTAAATGTAAACAAGTCCAACTAAGTTATCACATAGGACTAACTCATTGCTGACCCTCCAGCAGGTTTGCAAGGCTGTAATGGCAAGGGAAGAGATTGTTCCTTTTTCTCTCACACAGCTACAGACGGATTAAAAAGCAAGAGAGGAGAAGTTACTCGTTTAGCAGAGTAATTCCTTAAGGACTACACTACCAGAGGCCTCTCTTCATGTGGATTGTTGTTAGTTGTCATCAAGTTGAGCACGACTCATAGCAACCCTATGAATAAAAATATCTGAACCCTCCTCTATTCTGTGCCCTCCTCACACTTCCTGCTTCCTGACACAAAAAAAGAGCTCATTGTAGCAGTCACCTTGTCAATCCACCTGGTTGAGGGTCTTCCTCTCTGTTACAGATCCTCCACCCTTTCCAACATCATGTCCTTCTCCAAGGAATAGCATCTCCTAACAACATGCCCAAAGTATATGAGGCAAAGCCTCATCATTCTTGCCTCCAAAGAACACTCCAGCTGCACCCTCTCCAAGATAACTGTTTATTCTCTTGTTCATCCACAGGATGTTCAATGCTCTTCTCCAGTATCACAGCCCAGAAGTATCAATTCTCCTGTCATCTGTATTCACTGTCCAGCTTTCAGATGGATAGCTAGTAATCAGAAAGACTATGACCTATACCAGGTGCACCTTAGTCCTCAAACTGACATCACTACTCAATAATTTGGAGAGGTCCCTAACTGCATATTTTCCCAGTGCAATGTTTCTCCTTTTTTCCTGACTGCTGATTCCAAGGGTGTTGAATGTGGATTTAAGCAAGATGAAGCTGTTGACACTTTGAATCTCCTCTCCATCCATCATCCTTCATGTGTATAGGAATGAAGAAATGAGAACGTATATAGTTACCAGATAGCAAACAGAGCTAGCCACTATTGATAGGATTTACCCACAAGTTTTTCAGAATTGAGTTTTAAAGGAGATACCACAGCTCTATTTTCTCACATGAAAACTTTGATAAAGAGCCTTACATTATGAGCTGAGATCCGGAAAGGAATGTATAAATCACTGGCCTTGACATTCATGTTGTTATGTGTCTTCATACCCTACAAGTACATTAAAATCCTGACCGACCCTGTACCATTCTCATAATCTCTGCCGTATTCAAGTACACTATTGCAGTCACTGTCAATCCATCTCATTAACGGTCATCCTCTCTTTTGTTGATCTTATATTTTGCCCAGCGTGGGTTCAACATTGAAATGAAGAAAAAAAGGTGAAAGTAGGTTCCTGATTGAGGTCACAGAAGCCTAAAAGTCCATGGACTCTAGCTGTGAATGGATGAACTCAAGGAAACCTAACTAGTAAATTATTTCAGCAATTCACAAGACTCCAGAACAGTGAAAGTATTTTCTTTTTTATGTTATTCATTTTTAAAAGTACCAAAATAACATAACACTGAGAGGATACTGATTTAAATGTGTGGCTTTGGAACAAACCTGTGAAGTTTAAACCATGCCTCTGACAACTGAGCAGCAAGTCAGTTAGTCAGTTAATCTCTCCCTTTCTCTCCTTTTTTTTCCTTTTTTTTCATTTTTGGCTTTTCATGTGCAAAATGAGGATAGCAAGAATATCCACGAGTGGTGATGGTAAGGATTAAAGAGTTCATAGTTGTGACACACATGTCCACTACAATTGAGTTGTTTCTGACTTGTAGCAGTCCTCATGAGGGTTATTGCTGTTGTTGTTGTTAGGTGTCATAGAGTTGAACACGACAAGCCTATGAACAACAAATCTGAACCCTGTCCTATTCTGTGCCATCTTCACTCTTCCTGACATACTAGAGTTCATTGCGACAGTCACTTTGTCGATCCACATGGGTGAGAGTCTTCCTCTCCTTTGCTGACCATATGCCTTTCCAAGCAGGAAGTTCGTCTCCAAGAAATAACCTCTCTCAGTATGTGAGGTGAAACATTATCATCTTTACCTGCAAAGAGTACTCTGGCTACCCTATCTCAAACATTTGTTTCTTATTTTGGCAGTCGATGGGATGTTCAGCACCTTTCTGCAACACCATAGCCCAAAGGCATGAATTCTTCTGTCACACTTATTCGTTGTCCAGCTCTCAAACTATGGCCTGAATCAAACACAACTTAATCTTCAAATTGACATCATTTCTCCTCAATAATTTGGAAAGTCTCCAACTGCAGGCTTACCCAGTGAAACAGGTTTCCTAATTTCCTGACATTTTGTACCAAGGGTGTTGATTGTGGAGCCAAGCAAACTGAAGCTGTTTATAATCTAAATCTCTTCACTATCCTTGCCTCCAAGGATCACGAACTTACTTTAAATGCTTCTTGCTTTATCCCCTTTCTTCCAAGTCGATTGCTGCTAATATCAATAAATGTCAGAGTGGTAGGCAATTCTGGGAGCTGCCTTATTCTGTTGTCACGCAGGATAAGCTCTCGAAGTTGAGGCAGTTTTCTAAATGCATCTTCATCAATCTCAGAGATTAAATTTGAAGTCAGATCAATCCTTTTTAAATCATCTGGGAGAAAGAAACGAAGGCAATAGTTAAATATTTTTTAATATTATTTGTTTATATGAGCATTAGATACCAATATGAAATCACTCATGTAAAAACATGTACAAACACAAACTTAATTATTATTGCCAGCTAATGAAATAATTATTTCTAACTGCTTTATGAAAAAATAATTATTATCTCTCAACAGTGTACCTATTTACACAAGTACAAGAAAGTGTAATTCTGGTAAAGAAACTCTCATACTATATTTAAGATAGAAGGTATTTTTCCTCATTCTTTATACATTTTAACTTAGTTTTATTATTTAAAATCTTTTTCTCAATGTTTCTTTATCAATATATATTTTCTAATTATTTTTGTATTTAAAATATATTTAAATAAACACATTACTTTAAGAATAAATAAAATCACAAAGCTCTTGTTTTACATTGCAAAAAAAAATTCAACTGGACTGATAGTACTAATCATTAAGCATTTTTTAAAAGTTTGCACAAGCCAAGTCCTATTAACTATGTGACAGATATTTTGTGTCATAATGATCTTAATGCCTTAACAGGATAATAGGATTTAGCCAACAATAAAAATGTACTTAGTCATGATTTCTACTGAGTTGAAAATAAAAGACTAAATTAAAAAGAACTCTTTACCTAGTTCCATAAGAACTTTTAATTTATTTATTGTGTTTTCTTATTATTAAATCAAATTACAAAATAAGGAAAATTTTTATTGACTGTATTTTGACACTTCGGGTTTCATTCTCAGTACCAACAACTTACAAGCTAAGAATTTTGAGAAAATATCTAAAAGGAGAATAATATTGTCATGGATACTTAGGCTTGCAAAGTCATTTTTGTTGATCTTCTTGATTCTGTTGAAGCGGGCATAGAAATATGCAGTGCTCTTGGGCAGTGGAGGAATAGCATCAAGTTCATGGTCATCACAATATACAGTGGTACTTATACAAGTGCACAGAAGGCAAGTGGGGAAGTCTATAAGATATAGACAAAAAATTAAATGAAAGTAAAAACAATGTATAAGAAAAAAATGTATCTAGATTTGTTTCATTTATATGATTACAGAGTATTTTCTATTTTCTCATATGTTTAACCTAAATGTACCAATTCAGCCTGTCCTAACAACTAGTATATTATAAAAGGTTTTAAAACTTCATTTAAAATCATGTGACATTAGCAAATATTTAGGGAGCTCTGGTGGCCTAGTGGTAAGAAGCTGTCCTGCAATCCCAAAGGCATGTGGTTCAAATCCACCAGCGGCTCCACAAGAGAAAAATGGTGAATTTCTTATTAAAGAAAACTAATATTAATTCATTCATATGTTAGCTGTTGCTAAGGAATGATACTAGGCTAGATGTAGTAATACTGGTGAGCAAAGAGATGCAGTTCTATTTAACAACCTGCTGTGTGAGACAGATGCTAATTAAATCATGTGATAAAAGTCTTGAGGATCAAATGAGCAAGGAACATGACCTGATAGAAGAAGGGAAGGAGTAAACTATGGAAATGCGATTAAGAAGAGTTAGCTAGAACTTTAAAGGTGATCTATCAAATATTTAATACTTGATAAGTTAGCCAGTCACAGTCAGTTAACATGGCCACTTAAATAATTCTAAAAAGTAAGGCATTTGATTCTTATATACATTTATAACCACACTAATTTTGCAATAATTGCTTATTGTACTTTTTTATAGAGTCACACCTGTAGTAATTTACTTCTAGTTTTTCCACTGAAACCTACATTCTGTGTATTCAGAATAAAAGCTTAAAGAATTGTATTATTAACAGAAAACATTTTGTTTTAATTTTTAATGTTGTAACTATTTCCACACCACTTAGCTTTAATGAATTTATGAGGTATAAATTTCCTTCTAAAATTTCAGTAGATATGTCTTAGATGGAAATTACAATGAAAATTGAAATGTAACTGCATTATTCATTCTCAGGCCACTTTTGAGACACAAATAAGGATACAAGAAATTAATTTTTTTAAAAAATACTGTTTTCAAAACCAGTATCATTGAATCATGATTTGTATTAAAATCTTAGAAATACATTTCAATTAAAATATGGAGTGTAATGCTTAGCAAGGTGGAGGGACGGCAAAAAAGTGAAGACCCACAACCAGATGGACTGACACAGTGCCGGCAGCAATGAGCTTGAGTGTGTCAGAGGTCGTGAGAATGGCACAGGATAGGACGAAGTTCAGATCTGTTGTTCCCAGTGTCACTATGAGTCATACTTGCCTTGACAGCAACTAATAACAACAACAGTAGTCATAAGGACATCTGAGAACAGGGGTTATCTAAAAGTCAATTTTGTTTCTTTAGCATTTGGAGTGTGGAGACACTTGATAAAACCTTTCCAATGTTTTCTTCACATAACCTCACTGACCATTTCAGGAGGTGTGTGAAAATCTTTTCATCTGAGTTCGTTGAGTATGCTTACAGACACATTATAGAAAGAAATGGAAAGCATCAAATCTACCACTTGCAATTCCTACTTGTTAATGAAAAGGCTATCATTTAGATCATTCTTAAGACAGTTAATAAGTGAGACTTGGAGTGTGGAAGGCTTTTGTCTCTTTGGCTCGTTCTCTGCTGCTTCCTGGGACTAAGTGAGAACAAGCTTGTTTCTAATTCTTTCTCTCTCATCATTGTCCAATTGTAACTGACTCAACTGACCCTCCCTCGGGTTTCAAAGACTGTAACTCTGGTGGGAGGAGATTGCTCCTCTTGCGCCAAGGAACCTCAGGTGGACAGCCAGAGAGGAGTGGCCTTAAGTTAGAGAGGCGTGGCCTTAGAGAGGTGTGGCCTTAGTTAGAGAGGCGTGGCCTTAAGTTAGAAGCTCATCTGTCTAAGGAACAAGTTTTGGCTTTAAATCTAGTTTAAGAAACAAATAACTATATAATCGTTGGCAAGTTGCTAGCTTCTTTGGTGATAATGAAAAAGGGTGACACTAACCTTCTTTCAGGAAGATTGTAATGATCAACTGTAGTAATATGTTTAGTGCTAAATGTTACAATCCACAGACTAGTAAATTCTCAGTCGATGTAAAATATTGCTATTCCAATCACTTTCTTCATCATCCTCATCACCACTTGGAGTTGCCTTGGCTTTGTATCAGAAGCACATATTCAGATTTATTTGCCTATAATTATATTTAACTAGAGGTCTGGAAGAAGCATGCCAGACAACTATTTCCATCACAAATCTTTAGGATTGTTTTGATTATTAGAAGTAAACCAAAGTTGAGTTAGCAGAACTGCTTTGAATGAAAAATTTGTGTGCAGTGACAGTTCTAAATCTATTTTTTTTTTTAAACAACCTTTGCTTTGCATCATGCCTTTCCCAGAGCAGTGGGAGGCTGGACATTTTGAGGGATGGTGTTGGACTTAAGATGGACTTAATTGGAATTCAACACTGATGTAGCTGACCTTCATTGGTGTGAGGGCCCAGGACACCTGGGAATTCAGGCTCCTGAGGGGAGGAGCCATCGATCAGCCTGGGGGTGGACTCCTCCTCCTCTTCCTCACTTTCTTCCTCCTTGGACAATGGTGGAGGGGTCAGGAGCTCTCTGTTCCCCGAAGGCATCACCGTGGCAACTTCAATCTGACAAAGAAGCAGATACCCATCAGTCACAATTTTCCATCACAAAGTGGTGATAGGAATTTAAGTGTATCCACAGTGGCCACCAGAGGGCACAGCTGTTCTGAGAGTGAGCACACTCTGGCCTGTTTGTCTTGGCGAGCACATATGGTTTTCATTACAGTTAATTGTTGTTTTTAATTATTTAGATCTTCTAAAACCTCAGTAATCTTTTCCAATGCCTTTTATTCTTTGTGTGTTCTTGCTGTTCTTGAATATTATTTTGTATGTTCATGTCACAGATACAGAACAATATATTTATTTTTTATGAATATAGAACATACAAAACCACGTCGCCCCCCCCCCCCCCTCGTCCCTGGGCAGCTTATTTCCATTCATCCTTCTTTCCTAGCCCTCTCTGTCTTTCGAACTTTGTTTTTCAGCAAAAGCTGCCCTTTCAGTCTTCTGTGGTTGACTTTTTCTAAAGGACATTGCTCAGGAGTATCCGTGTTCACTTTGGACTACTATCTGTGTCTGTTCTTTGGCTCCAAGATAAGCCATGGGAGTCTGTTTGATTCCAGGTCTGCAGGAGCTCTAAGGGTGACAGTTTCGGGAATTGTACCAGTTTCTATCAGACCAGTAAATCTAGTCTTTTTCAGGACCTTGAATTTTGTTCTATATTCCCCCCGCCCCAGGAATGTGTTACTATTGTAAAAGATTCAAATTACTGTCCAAGTATGCAGAGTCATATCTCTAAGTTTCCTTTCTCAAGCAGCCTTAATTTAGACCCCTTAAAGATAATAAAAACGGAGAAGGACTTGATTATTTTGTCCAATCCTGATAATCTTTGGTTTCTTAGATTTCAATGTTCCATTCCTTTCTATTAAACTTTCGCCTCCAATAGTATTTTATGAAAAGTTTCACTTTCACTAAAAAATAACATGTGAAAAAAATAACAATGATATGATTTGGTTATAATATGTCCTTTTCCACATATTTTCACTATTATTTTGGTATAGCAAGTGTTATGAATAAAATATTTGGGTTCTCTTAAAAATGACCTTTTAGATAAGATTTTAAGACTTTTCGGCCATTTTTTTCAAAGATCCTATTTTAAACTATACTTGATCTTTTTAATTCTTACTTGTAACTCCTAAATAAAGAGCTATTGATTCCAAGAATATAATTTGTATTTAAAATCTTTTACTTTGAACTCCCTTCTCATGTTGTATTACCTCCTCCTTTGCATTATTTAGTGAATGTCTGTTTCCTCTTAGACCTTGCTCTCATGGACAGAAGTCTATGCAATATCATATGGGTGACCACATTCTGAGCACACAGAGAATGATCTGTGGCCCAGTGCCTTTATCCCCACCCAACTCCAACTCATAGCACCCCTCTATTTCTAAGGCTATAAATCTTTTGGGGAAGAGACCGACCACCTATCTTTCTTTTACAGAGGAGCTGCTGGATTTGAACCACTGACCTTTTGGTTAGCAGCACCACAGGTAACATACTACACCACCCTCCAATCCCAGATCCTTCCTTAACCATATATATATGGCTTCTTGCTTCTTTCCACCTTTCTTTGTTAGTTTTCTTTAAAAAGCAAAAGAATACTTAAATTAATTTGTATTTCCTTATTTTAAAAATGATATATGAATTATAGCTTTCATGTATTAAATGAATACATAATTGGATCAAATATTTTCTGAATATTTTAGATAAAGATAGCATTTAAAAGGAAGATTTATTTATAGATGCCATTGATAGACACGAAGACATTGATTCACCAGTGAACATAATCTCTAAGAAACACTGACATGTCTTTTGTACACTTGCATTTCTCTGTTGGCCCATCTTTCTGTGGCTGGAGCAGTCTGCAATTATGTCTACACTGTACCATCTTTGTTCTCATCATTTTTGGCTCGTATAGACCAATCCAATGATAAACAATCAGGTATGTCTTTTATGTTTGTCCCTGTAAGTTGTCCCCATAAATGTTCAAGTCTTTTTTTTAAAAAAAAAAATAATAATTTGTTTATCCAAAACATACCTGCTTCACAATTTTATTCTTTATTTTACATATTTTTCTGAGATGCATCAACAAATGCTATAATGCTTATTAACGGCAGAAAATCAAACCCAAACCAGACCACACTATCATGAAGACTGTAGAAAATGTGGCCAAACATCTCTGGTAAAAATAGTGGACCCACTTCTTTAAACTGGGAAACATACGGTTCCCATCTGTGGGGTCAGAATGAGGTAGATTAAGAAGGAATGGCTTTGCAGGGAGACCAAAAGGAGGCTCCAGGAAGAGCGGAAATTGAGACAGCTGTTTCATGGAATAAAGGAGCCTGAAGGGAGAAACACATTCCAGACATGTTGCCTTGAATCTTTAGCTCTGTAGGAAAAATGTTTGCACGGACACTTTTTTTTTTAACAGATAATTGTTTTTCCACTGATTTAATGTGAAGCTGTAAGATCTCACTTGTCATCCAATATAATGAGAAAAAACAGCCTTTGTGTGTTTATCACACACTGTTTGGGTCATACTCACTTGCTAATAAAATGTGAATGTAGTCGAACAGCTTTTTAAACCAAGAGAAAGGAATGATGCCTTTTCAGCTGAACAAAAGTGCAGAACTGTAGCTTCCAGGCAGGGCCCTTTGTGTGCAGAGGTTAAGCGCTCTGCTGCTAACTAGAAGGTCCGGGATTTGAACTCACCAGCTGCTCTCCAGGCAAACAAAATGGCAGTCTCCTTCTGTAAAGATGCACAGTTTTGGAAATGCTCTGGGGCAGCTCTACTGTGTATCATAGGGAGGTTCGGCATTGATGTGGACTCAATGGCAATGGTTTCATTTGTTTGGATAACCTCAGAGTGCTGGGCTTGGAGAGCATTTGGCTCTGTAGATACATTCACACTATTAAGTGGAAGTGATGTAGGCTTCTGTCCTTTTATGTAGGTGTGACACAACGCATTTAAAATGAGGGCAGAAAAACAACATTACCTGGTCACCAGGTGGCAGACTATTATGCTTAAATTATAGAAACATGAATTTGATCATAAACAAATGTCCAGAAAACACGCCTTATGCTTATTCTCCAGCTACAACTGGTAAGACTCAAATGAAAATATAATTAAGCCTCTAATATATTCACTTTTTCTTCTCGATGTTTCCTACATTTTTTTCCCATTGCGTTTTCTTATTTTATTGTGACTTCCTTCCTACTTTAGCCACTTTTTAATATCTTCATTACATTTCCCTTCGTTTTGAAAATACAATATTGTAGTTCTTATAGTTAGGATGTATTGTCAAGAAGGAACTGACTCATAGCTGACCCTCCAGCAGGTTTTCAGAGGGAGTATAATCACACGGGAGGAGATTGAGCATGTTTCTCCCATGGATTCTCACTGCATACCTTTGGGTTGAAAGCACAGCACCTTTTCTTTTCTACCAGAGCATTGTTGTTGGTAGTCGTTGACTCCAACTCATAATGATAGTGACCTCACGTCCATATAGTTTTAAAGTCTATGAACTTTTAGAAGCAAGTCTCCAGTCCTACTTTCAAAGGCATCTCCAGGTAAGTGCAAACTGTCAACCTTCTCTGTGGTTGAACAGTTAACAATTTGTGACAACTGTTGATGTTGTTTTGTGCCATTGAGTCAACTATTCCTCGAAGTGGCTCAATGAAGGATGCCTCTGGACCTTGCTCCATCCTGAGAAAACCTCATTATCTCTGACACCTTTTTACCCCATTGACACAGTCACGATCACTGTGTAACTTCATTTAATTTAGGCTTTTCCTCTCCTGCATTGATCTTCTTCCCTTCCAAGCATGATATCTTTCTCCAAGGACTGGCCCTTCCTGACAACATACCCAAAATATGTGAGTCTGAGCTTCAAAATCCTTGCTGCCAGGAAGCAGCCTGGTTTTACCCTCTCTAGGACAGACCTGTTTGCTTTCTTGGCAGTCCATGATATGTTCAACACTCTTCTCTAGCACCACAGCTCAAAGGCAATGATGCATCGTTTTGTAATCTTTATTCATTGTCCAGCTCTCAGATGCATAGCAGGCATTTGAAAATAGCGCCTTAGTCTTTAGACTGACATCGTTATTCTTTAGCATTCTGGGGAGGCCCTTGACAGCAGGCTGCCAAGCATGTTGATTATGGAGCCAAGTAAGATGCAATATATAAAAAACTTCAGTCTTTTCTCCATCTATCATGATGCTACCTATTGGTCCAGTGGTAATATCTTTATTTTCTTGACGTTGAGATCAATACATATTGAATGCTGCAGTCCTTCATCTTCTGTAGCAAATGTCTCAAGTCCTGCTTTGTTTCAGCCAGCTTGATTGTGTTATCTGTGTAATACTAGTTGTTAATGTGTTTTCCTCTAATCTTGATGTTACATTTTTCTTCATAAAAATGTAACACCTCAAGTGATCTGTTCAGCATATAGGTTTCAAAGATATGGAAAGGGATTATGCACACATTCCTTGATTTTAAGCCATACAATGTTCTATTGGGACAATTTCTTCTTAGTGTAGATATAGGCTTAACACATGAGCACAATTAAGTGTTCTTGGATTCTCATCTTCTCAATGTTAGACATAATTTTCTGTGATCCACATTATCAAATGTATTTTCATAGTAAATAAAACACAAACAGACATCCTTCTGATACTCTCTGTTTTCAGCCAAGATTCATCTGATATCTGCAATAATATCTCTAGTGCTAGAGCTTCTTCTAAACCCAGGTTGTATTACTGACAACACTAAGTCAATGTACTGTTCTAATTGTTTTTGGATAATATTCAGCAAGATTTTACTTGCATGTGTTATTAATAATACTATTCGACATGATGTTGGATCATCCTGTAGCACTTTTTGGGAGTAATGAGGATAAATACAGATTGTTGACAAATTTCTTCAAATTTTTTGTCATAACCTAGGATGTGAGCACATCCAGGACTGCATTTGTTTGTTGGAATAAGTGAATTGGTATTTCATCAAT